ACTGGGTGGGTCTAGTTCAGGGGAATGATGGGAAACACACTTTGTCCCTGATGCACAGCATCTCATTCATTGAAGACGTACATGTTAACATCTCTGAAACTGGGACGCATCTTCCGGTTGGATGGCACAACATAGTTGACTGTGATGTTTCTTTCTTGGTAGGACATGTTACACTCAATGGCATCTTAGATTCAAAGAAACTTGGTAAGCAACATTCTCCAGTTAGCCTTATCAAAGAGCTGATATTTTACTCTCCACCTGTCCCAGGGAATTAGTACTTAACTGGCTCTGAGCACAGGAAATGGGGGAAGGAGTATGATTTATCACCACCCCCACCACCCTACCCCTTGCCCTAAGCACTTCCCATGTCCTGAGCTATGCAGATGAGGAAGACGCCTTCCCCAGCCTAAAGAACGTGAATGGCCTGGGCCACGGAGAGGAGAAGCACTAGAAAGCCAACTGAGACATGCAAGGACTCATGTGGTCCAAGTGTGTGTGCACATGTGTGCCCATGCATGGGCTCTCAGGCCTTGCCCATGCACCCTTTGGCTCACACCCGCAGCCTGTCCTGGTCATTGTCTCAGCCCACTCTTCCTCCTTTCGCTGGACTCCTCAAAGATTCCCAAACTCCACTCCCCAATCCTCTCATCTGGCTTCTGCCCTGACAACAAAGTCGCTGTTACGGGTTGAACTGTGCTCCCCACCAGGCCTCTGTGTTGAAGTCCTAACTCCCAGTAGCTCAGAAGGTGACTGTATTTGGAGACAGGCCTTTAAAGGGGTGATTAAGTTAAAATGAGGCTGTTAGGGTGGGCTGGTAATGGACCAGTCCAATATGACTGGCATCCATAAAAACGGGAAATTGGACTTACAGAGGGAAGATGATGTGAAGAGACAGAGTGGGATGATGGCCACAGGCAAGCCAGGGAGAGAGGCCCAGAGCAGAAGCTTCCCTCACAGCTCTCCGGAGGAAACGACCCTGTCCACATCTCGATCTTGGACTTCCAGCCTCCAGAGCTGTGGGACGGCAAATCCCTGTCGGCAAAGCCACGGGTGCTGTGTTACAGTAGCCCAAGCAAATGAATACACTCACCGGTAACATCCCAGTGCCCACACTGACAGCCACTGCTCCCTCCTCTGTCACTTGCTTTCTCTGTTTTTTGTTTTGTTGTTATTTGTCTGTTTTTCTGCTCTATCACCCAGGCTGGAGTGCAGTGGCACAATCTCAGCTCACTGCAACCTCCACCTCCTGGGTTCAAGTGATTCTCCTGTGTCATCCTCCTGAGTAGCTGGGATTACAGGCACCCGCCACCACGCCCGGCTAATTTATGTGTTGTTAGTAGAGATGGGGTTTCACCAGGTTGGCCAGGCTGGTCTCGAACTCCTGGCCTCAAATGATCTACCCACCCCACCCTGCCAAAGTGCTGGGATTACAGGTGTGAGCCATCGTACCCGGCCATTTTCTCTGTATTTAACACCAAAACTTGCTCTTCAGCAGCAATGGCACAGCTCCTCCTGGCCTCTCCCACTGCTCCCCTTCATCCAGGTGCCTCCAACGCTGACGTCTCCCCTCTCCTGCACATGCTGGCCGGGTGACCTCCTTCTCACCGCGGCTTCCACCCCCATCTGAACGCTGATGACCCCAAAACTCTGTCTCTAACTTACATCTGTGCTCCGAGGTTCAGACCAGATATCCACCTGCCTCCTAGACATCTCTGCCGCACATCCCACGGGCATCTCAAACACATATCCAAAACTGAGTGCTGGGCATCCTTTCCTGGTCTCTGCCCTCCCTGGTACTGTCTATCCCAGCAAAGGACCCCACTGTGTCTGGGACACCTCCCTTGTTCTACTGCTCCTGAGACTGGGTGACAGACTTCTCTACACACCCAGGGCACCCAGTTCCCCTCAGTACCCTGGGTCACACCGTCCTGCCACGGATCCTGGGGCATCTTTCGTGGCAGGAGCAGTGTTGGACTCACCTCTATGCAAAGACATCTCAGATGCACACTCTGGACATCCCTGTCCCCGAGGAAGGGGGCAGAAACCCTTCCACACCAGCTATACAATGATCAAGAAACGGTCACTCAAAGAGGCACCCTATCACAGACAAGTTTTTATTATCCTGCATAGAGAACCCAGGAAATATAAAAACATGTCCAGAAGGAACCCCCTCCGACTGGCCCCCTCCCTCCCAGGGTGAGCTCAGACCAGGGTAATGGGGGCTTGCAGGCCACCTCTGTCCAGCGAACAAGTTCCATATAAAAATAGATCTGTAGAGGGTTCCCAGAGAGCCATCGCCCCGCATCACGCCTGTGCAGGGCTGAGGCCTGGGACCCATCAGGATTCTGGGACCTCACTCCTCAGTGGAGGGGAGATCTACCCTGGACACCGAAGTCCTGCCAACACAGCCAGGGGCCCTTCTGCAGGAACAGCTGGGGTAGCGGGAGGAGACTTTTCCCTGCAGAGAATGACTGATGTAGCTGGAGATGGGGATGAGGCTCCATCCACCCAAGAAGGGATGCTGGTCCAGGCTTCCCAGGAGGGGTGGGGAAGGCGGATCCTGGAGGGCACCTGGCCGGGGGCTCCCCTAACCCTGACAAAGGTGGTAGCAACATCTTGGTCTCCCCAGTACCTCCAGAGTCACTGAGCTGGGGCAGGTGCTCAGGAGACGGGGAGGCAGGGGGCTGGGGGATATTCCAAGAGCAGAGGAGCTGCTGCTGGCAGGGTGGGGCCAAAGGCACCGCTGTGAGTCACTGTCCCCCACCTTGGGGTGCTCTGCAAAGATGCACTGCACCTTCCGCCTCTGGGCTCTTTCTCATGCTAGCCTCTCTGCACGGACTCCTCTTGTCTGAGGCCTGCCATCTTGCCTGCCGAACACTCCACGCACCCCAAGGTAAGAACCTTCCCTTTCCCACCTGCAAGGCCTTGTTCAACTTACATCTCAGCTTCACACTTCATGAGAGTGGCTATCTCCCCCTCCAGCCCACTCACCCACTGACCCAGAGGGCTCCTGGGGGCCCTGGGCACTGGTGGATGGTGCCCTGGAATTACTTCTTGGTACCTGAGCTCTTCTCCTGGTCTCGTCTGAGCCCCCCAAGGGCAGGCTGTGTGTCTTTTTCATCTCTTTTCTCTACCCCTTGTCTTCTCCTTCCCGCTCCATCCCACCCCACCCACACACAGCCAAGCACAGCAGACAAGTGTCAGGGGTGGCCTGAACAAACTCAGCCCCTGTGGCCCTGCCAAGATCCAGCTGCCTTCCTGCTACCCTAGAAAAGCCCTGGCATCCTGGGCCCCACCATTCCCGGGGGCCCTTGTGGATAAGGAACTCCATGGTGGGCTCAGCACAACCACTCCTGCCAGGGCTCCACGAAGTCAGAGCAGGGAGGGGCTCCATGGAAGGCTGGCTAGTGCCCAAGGCACGGAGCTGGCTGGAGTGGGTCACCTCTAGAGTCCCCACGGGCTGTACAGGGAAGTGGGGGTGCCATAGGGCAGGACCAAGGACTCTCTCTCCAGAGCCAGCCTCATCCCTGGATTGGGTTCTGACCCCTGCTCTGACCCTGACACCTCACTTGGCCTCAGTTCCCCCATCTGTACACTGGGTGTTAGACCAGCCTGTTTGAGAGAGAGGACCCGTCTCTGAGTCTCCTCTTCACCCTCCCCAAGGCTGGAGAGAAAAGCTCCTGGGTCCCTGGGGAGATGACATGGCCCTTTATGCTTTTCCCAGATGTCCTGGCCACTGAGTTCATAAAGGAATGCACACGAGGGCCTCATAGAGCCCCAGGGAACACCAGGGCCTTGCATGACCCAGCCTGGTCAGGATTCTTGGCCTCACCCTGAACTGTCAGCTCAAGGCAGGGGAACACAGAAACCAGCTCCTGAGTCTAGGGCTCTTGGGCGTCAGCCCCTGAGCTCAGCACCATCTTTGCCTGCCCGGGCCTTGGCCAGTGTCCAGTCAGCCCCTGCCAAGGCACAGGGAGCTGAGGACGATGCGTCTCTGGCACAGCCCCCGAGGCCTGAGCCACCAGGCAGCTGCAGTCACTGCCAGGTAGAACAAGAGCCCCCTGGGACCCACGCTGTCTGACTGGTCAATGGGTCTGTGGGAAAAGGGAACACCCCACGGGGTAGGCCCCAGCCCCTAGTGGGTATGAATGGCAGTAGGGCATGAGCCAGGGCAATCTCAACCCACTGTCTTCCCTCCAATCCCTGCCCCAGCTCTTCTCTGAGACCCCGAATTTCCTCCTGCTGTTATCTCAGGGGTCCTCTCTAGGGACTTGAACCTCTTTTCCGGGGCACTGAGTTAGTGAAGGTGTTTAGACTGGTGAAAATGGGAGGGGCAGGCAGTGAAAGCGGGGAAGCTGGGGCCCCAAACCAGATCTGGGCCCAAGCGGAGGAAGAGAGTGCTCCCTCCCACGCTGCTGGAGCACAGCTTGCCACGGTCCTTGGGCAGGGCTGGGGGTCTGGACCCCCACCGGAGTCCTGCCTTGAAGAATGGGGTCCACTCACACCTGCACCCCCTGGCCCTGCAGCTGGAGCACTCGTGCCTGTAGGGCGCTGATCCCGCTGAGGAGGGCCTCTCGATGTTCAGCTGAAGAGATGCCTAGGCTCACCAGGTCCCTGAAACAAAGGCTAGTCACACTCAGCTGGCTTGACCCCAACTTCTGCTCCTCCCATGAAGGCCCTCCACTCTCCCTCCGCTTCTCTGGACAGGTTGGGACTTCCCAATACAGGCAGGGGCAGGGCCCCTGGTATCCCCTAGCCCCGGCCTTGACCTTGGTGCCTCGGACTCACTGGGCGGTCATCTCGGCCACGGCCTCCAGGCTCCCGTAGCCAGCAGCTGCGAAGCTGTCCTTGTAGCGGCACAGGTCCAGGGCCTCCAGCCACGCGCCCACAGAGCCAAAGGAGGGGAAGGTGGAGAAGGCACGGTCCGCTAGTGGGGTGGGAGGCCTGCGGGTCAGAGGAGCTGTGCTCAACCGACAGCTGGGATCTGGGCCCAAACCTGGTAGTCTCCCGGGGAGAGGCCAGCTGAGGATGAACAGGAGAAGAGGAGGGTAACCGGGCCCTGGGGCTGGACCCAGCTCACATGAGCACCGTGCTTTCCTGAAAAGGCAAGGGCTTCAGGTTCTTCAGGCAGGTGGAGGCAGAGCCAGCTAAAGGTATTGGAGTATCTGGAACAGTCTGGGATAGGACATGCCTAGGACTGGTTGGTGACTCATATTTGGAACAACGAACATTAATTTCACATATTTGATTCATTGGGACTACAAATGTGTTAGGGCTATTACCACATCTATTTCTCCAGTCAGAGGTCATTGTACCCAGGGATGCAGGCAAAATGCAGGAGACGCGGAAGTGACCAGCAGGATGTGCAGTGAGGTAGACCTGGGCAGGTGGGAGGGCTACAGCCCTCTAGGGCAATGGGGTGAGCGATCGCTCCTGGACAGGTTGGGGGGTGGAGGTGGTGGGTTTGCACTTGAGACATGCAGGAAGACCCTCCATGGACAGGTGAGAGGCTGGCTGTCTCCTGTGGGAACATACCTGGGACAGGTAGTCGGGGCACAGTTGGGGGGCTCCGGGTCCTGCACCATCTTGCTCAGGATGCTGTGGATCTGGGAGAACCTGGGCCGCTCACCTGGGTCCTTCTGCCAGCAGTCGAGCATTAGTCGGTGCAGAGGGGTAGGACAGTTCCTGGGAGGTGGCAGCCGGAAGCCATCCTCCACAGCCTTGATCACCTGGGCGACGGGGATAGGGAGCAGAGAGGAGGCTCCAGGTTTCCCCAGGACACGGTGCGCGCACACACACACGCACATACACATGCACAGACACACACACACGCAGACACACAAACACGCATGCACACACACAGGCACGTGCACGTGCACACACGCGCGCACATACACATGCACACACGCACAGACACACACATGCATGCACACACACACACACACACAAAACACACACAAGGAAAACTCAGGCAGTGGCCAGGCAGAACCAGAAGCAAGCAGACAGAGAAGAGGGGCCTGGGGCTGGAAGGCTGAGGGTCAATGGGCAGAGGTCAGGGAGCTGGGGCCTGAGGTAAGAGGGTCAGAAGGCATGGAGCTGGAGTCACCAGTTACTCACGTCTTGGCCAGACATGTCCCAGTAAGGCCGCTCCCCAAAGGCCATCACCTCCCACATGACGATGCCAAAGCTCCATACATCACTGGCAGAGCTGAAGTGGCCAAACTGAAGCGTCTCAGGGGCGGCCCACAGCGCTGGGCTCCGGCCACTCTGTAGGAGCAGGCAGGTCAGGGGCAAGGAGGAACTGGATGACACACAGGTTTCCCCACCTGACTGAGCCCTAGATCCAGCCCTGAGTGTCATCCTCCCAAGCAACCCCCAACTCCAGCTTCACATCTGGGAAAGACACAAAAGCTGACCTCAAGGGGAGGTCCACTCGCATTTATGCCAAGACCAGCTGGGTGGAGGGGCAGGGAAGGGAGTGAAGTGGGGAGCTAGGGGTTCCAGCGCAGCTTGGTGGGAATCAGAAGGCGCAGGCAGGCTTGGCTGGGGGCACCCTCACCATAGTGGTGTAGACAGCCTCTGCTCGGTCCCGGGGGCCCCGCCCGAAGCCAGAGATCTTGCAGACAAGGTCGCTGCTGACCAGCACACGGCGAGCTGCCAGGCCCCGGTGAACGTAGCCCATCTCTGACAGATACTTCATGGCTGATGCCAGCCCAGGCAGCAACCCCATCAGTTGCCCAGCCACCAGCTGCCCCTCGTGCCGCTGTGGAGGGAGGAGACTGAGGCCAGGGCTGTGGGCTTGGATCCCCTGGTGTTGTGTGACGCCAGGGCAGTCACCCAGCTCTCGCCAGGCTTTAGTTCACCCTGTGACCACAGGTCAGCCCGGCCAGTGGGGATGATGCCAATTCCAAGCCCTACCAAAGAGAAAAGTGAGGGACCCCTGCCCGCTTTACAGAATAAAGTGGTCATTGGCAGCCCCAGGGCCACTCACCCTGAGGAAGCCGTCCAGGGCCCCATGGCTCATGTACTCGGAGACAATCATCAAGGTGCTTCCTGTGCCCAGGGATGGGAACACACATGCTAAGTTGCCTACTCCACCCCGCGCACACACAAGTTTCCCCCCCGGTGCCCCAGACCAGGCCTCAAGAGCCAGAATCAGCACCAAGCTCCCTAATCTCGCCATCCTCCTGCCCAGCCCAGGGTCCACTATGCCGAGGAACAAAAGAGGAGACATCTTAGGTGGACAAAGGCCAAGGTCATGAGCTGCAATAAGCTTGCTAAGAAAGATTAGTCTTTCTAGGAGTGATATTCTAGGGGGTCAGAATATCACTGAAAGGTCAGAAAGGTCATTCTGGCTGGGCGTGGTGGCTCACGCCTGTAATCCCAGCACTTTGGGAGGCCGAGGCAGGTGGATCACAAGGTCAGGAGATCGAGACCATCCTGGCTAACACGGTGAAACCCCATCTCTACTAAAAATAAAAAAAAAAAAAAAAAAATTAGCCAGGCATGGTGGCGGGTGCCTGTAGTCCCAGCTACTCGGGAGGCCGAGGCAGGAGAATGGTGTGAACCTGGGAGGCAGAGCTTGCAGTGAGCCAAGATCACGCCACTGCACTCCAGCCTGGGCGACAGAGCAAGACTCCATCTCAAAAAAAAAAAAAAAAAAAGAAAGGTCATTCTGAGCCAGAGTGGCCACTCTAGGAGAAGGGCCACCCTGAGTCAGTGAAAGCTGAGGTCCCTGGCTGAAGCTCCCTCCCATGGCTGAGGGAAGGACCTGGAGGGGCAGGGGCACCCCAAACTCCCACCCCATCATTTCCACCCACCATACTCGTGGGCTGGGCAGCAGCAAGGGAGCACCGGGCCCTACCTCGGGTGACAACACCCTCCAGCCGCACGATGTGGCTATGGTCAAACTGGCCCAGAGTAAGGGCCTCCGCCAGGAAGCCAAGCCTCTGTGAGTCGGAGGCGCTGTCCCTCAGCGTGTGCACGGCTACAGGCAGCTCCTGGCGACCGGGGAGCTGCAGGCAGCCACAGCACAGCTCCCCAAACCGCCCTGTGGGGAAACAGCACATCAGATACTGCCAGAGGCCACTGCTCTGGCTGAGCTGAACAGGCTGAGCCGAGGAGAAAGTGACTCTAACCAGCCTGGCCAACATAGCGAAACCCAGTCTCTACTGAAAATACAAAAATTAACCAGGCATGGTGGCGCATGCCTGTGATCCCAGCTACTTGAGAAGGCAGGAAAATCACTTGAACCCAGGAGGCGGAGGTTGCAGTGAGCTAAGATTGTGCCACTGCACTTCAGACTGGTTGACAGAGCAAGACTCAGTCTCAAAAAAAAAAAAAAAAAAAGACTCCAGATCATGGACTGTTTCCAGTTTAAATCCTGGTAAACTAAGTACCAGCAGTGTGACCTAGAATTCCATCTTGTTCCCTTTCTTGGCCAGTCTCCTCTGTGAAATGGGGATTCCTCCCTGCCTTCCTCAGTGGGGGGAGGTTTCCAAGTCTTAAAGAAAGGACGGGGCACATGCCAGCGCGCCAATGGCCATCAAACCCCATGTGACCCAGGACGGATGACAATGACATCTATTCTTCCAGCCCTGCTCCTTTCTGGCTTCTGTCTGGAGACAGTGTCAGGGGATAACGTCAGGCTCCCAGTGAAAGCAGCTGCCGTCTCTGAGCACAGAAGGTTGAGGATTTGTAGTCAGGAAGAAAGGCTAGCAGGAGACTGGCGCTTAGAGAGCAAGAGCTGACAGCCAGGCCCTGTGAGGAGTGCTAGGAGGTCCCCACATTAGCCCCCAGAAGGCAGATATCATGCCCATTTCACAGATGAGAAACTGAGGCTCTGAGCAAAAGAGGGCCATGCCCCTGATCGTGCAGCGGGTCAGTGGGAGGGCCAGGACTAGAACTCAGTTATGTCTGGCCCCCAAGCTTGCAAAGGCCCCTCCCCATGGCCCCATAAAGGCCTGGGACTAAACTGCCAGTGGTAGTGTGCAGAGATCTGACCTTGAGGACCAGGAGAGGGTCACAGACCCCTCTGCCATCCTCTTCCCTATAATCAGGCAAGCCAGGGACTTTCTGGGTGGAGGGTGGGCTTGGTGTGGAGGCAGGGTTTCCAGACACGAGCAGGGACTTGGGTGGAGGTGGGCTTCAGGATAGCGGTGTGGATAGAGTAGGGGCGGGGCCTGTAGAGTGGGTGGGGCTTCCAGATGGGGACAAGTCTTCCTGGGCGCCCAGCTTGCCTGCTCCAAGCCTCCTCTCCAGCGTGACGCTTTTCGCATCCAGTTCCTTGGCGAACAGATGCACAGCCTGCAGTGGGTCCCCACAGCTCTGGGGGTCCAGGAATGTGCGACGTGTTGGGACTTTGACTGGGAGAGAAAGAGATGAACCTAAGGAACGGGGCCTCCGCCACTGGGGTGGACAAGCGGGCTCATGCAGTGGAGCAAGGCAGAGGGCTGAGGAGTGAGGAAAGGTGGAGCCCGCCCCTCCCCAGCCAGGCCCAGCCAACTCACAGTGGAAATACAGCTCCTCTTCATCATGGGCGTCCCCTCCTCCTTTACCATAGCTGCAGGGCCTGGCAGGGAGTTCAGGATCATTCTTTCAGCCAGGCCACCCCAGCCCTTCCCCCTGCAGAGCACTGAGGGCAGTGCCCCTTGGTCCCTTCAAAAGACAAGACCTGTGCCCTGGGGGAGGGACCTTCCTGTCCAGCTGGTTTAAAAGTTTCTCTGTGGTTTGACAACCTCCCCATGGCACAGATACAACCGTGGCCCTAGACCAAACCCTCACCACCACCACCATCTCTAGCTACTTTCACACGGTGGAAATTATTGCAACTCCAGAGGCACCCAATCCACACCCTGACTGCAGGCCCCCAGCTGACCCCAACCTGCGGTTTTATGAAAGTGTGAATGAGGCAAGCGGACCCAGCACTCAGGGGCAGCTTCTGGTCTGGTCAGGAAAACAAACACGGAGAGTTAGCCACAAGCCCACTCATCAGTGCTGGCAAAGAATGGCGGTGTACTGTGGGGACATGGGACAGACAGCCCTGACATGATCTGAGCTCATTGTGGATGGCTTCCTGAGACAGAGGCAGCCACGGGCCAAAGGACCGCATCACAGCCAACAAAGCCACAGGTTGGCACTTGGAGCCCCCAGGGGCAGGGCCTTGCTGGCCAAGATAAAGACTTCAGCTTTGATTCTGGGAGCAGAGGAGAGCCCCTGTGGAGTTGAAGCAGAGGAGTGCAATGATTTGATTTCTACTTTAGAAAGAGCTCCAGTTGCAGAGTGGAAGCTGCCGCGGGTGTCACCACAGGAGAGGAGCTGGCAGTGCTTCCAGCTATGGGGTCAACATGGGCATGGAGAGAGGCAGAGGACTCGAGTGACATGAAGGTGACAGGGGCCACAGGGCTGAGAGGTTGCTGGATGGCAGAAAGGAAGAGGGAGAAGTTGCCCACAGAGTTTATGGTGGTGCCATTTACTGGGACGAGGAGACAAAAAGTTCATATTTAGACATCTGAGTTTGCAGGCCTAGGGGATAAGCAGGGAAGATAAGAAGGGGGTTCAACGTGTATGTATCTGGAACTTGGAAGAGAGGCCTGCTCTGCAGATACAAATCAGGAGCAATGAGCGTGACCCAGGGAGAGAATAGAGTCTGAGAAGAGGGACTAGGAATAAGTCTGAGAAACCCCAACATCCAGGCTAGAGGAAGGAAGCACCAGGGACAGTACAAAAGAACCACCAGAGGAACAGAAGGAGAGTGGAGGGAAACTCGGGCAGGGTATCACGGAGACCAAGGACAGAGAAAGTAGAGGGGGTGGTAGAGAGAAATCACATAAAGGTACAAGCGGGGACTTTCCGAAGTTTTCACGACAGAGATGATCACATGTAGATATAGATGGGAAGGAGGAGCAAAGCTGTCACACAGGGGGAAGCAGCCACCGAAGGGTGTTGACGGCCTGGGCTCAGAACCTGACTGCACGGACCTGCTTCCCAGCTCCTCCACTCGGTAACTGTGGGACTGGGTGGCTCCGTTTTCTCTTTAATAAAATCAAGATAAACATAGGCCTGCCAGACAGCAGTATGTCAGACAGCTTACCAAGCCTCCACACATGTTCACTGTTATGGGGGGAGAGGGGGACATTAGGAGTAATAGTGGGCTCTCAAGATGGCAAAAGGGTGGGGTTCGGTCATAGATGGAAGGACTGATCCTGGCTGGGAGGATCACCTCCTCTGGAGGAAAGGGGATGAGGACGGGTGCAGAAGCAGGCAGGTGTGTAGGTTTGGTGGTAAGTAACCCAGGGGCCAGTGAGGAGGCTAAAGAACAGGTGTGACAGGTGTGGCCAAGACAGCAAGCTGCAAAGACAGGGAATCTGCAGGCCAAGAGGGGTACTAGATTAAGTATTGGGGTGAGGCCACGCATGGTGGCTCATGCCTGTAATCCCAGCACTTTCGGAGGCTGAGGTGGGTGGATCACCTGAGGTTAGGAGTTCGAGACCAGCCTGGCCAAAATGATGAAACTCCGTCTCTACTAAAAATACAAAAAAAAATTAGCTGGATATGGTGGCACAGGCCTGTAGTCCCCGTTACTCAGGAGGCTGAGGCAAAAGAATCACTTAAACCGGGGAGGCAGAGGCTGCAGTGAGCTGAGATCGTGCCACTGCACCCCAGCCTGGGTGACAAGAGTAAGGCTCCATCTCAAAAAAAAAAAAAAAAAGGTAACGAGGCGAAGCATTCCAGGGGGATGGCCAGGAGGAACAGAAGAGATGATTCTTGGGAATGAGAAGTCAAAGAACCAAGGGGCAAGGGATGGGACAGGCTGTCTGGCAGCTACTGAAGTCACCCAGGGTGGTGACAGGATTTCCACGAATGAGGAGCAACATCCAGGAAAGATGGGTGGAAATGAAGTGGGGAAGGTTGAGTGGATGGAGGAGCGAGAGAGGGTGCGTGGTGCGGAGAGGAGAGAGGCTTCCACTGGACCACACGGGCTGGTGAGAAGTGGGCAAGCCAGGGTGGACTGGAGAGGAGGGAAACTGGAGGTGAGGGACCACGGCGCAGAGCAGGTCCTACACACAGGACGGTGTGAGAGGTGCTGCAGACAGCCTGCCAGGCTGGGACACACATGCTGGCAGAGAACGCCTCTCTACCCCTCCACGCTAAACCAGGCTCACTCTCCCCATTTCGGTGCAGCTGGATTTGGAATCCCGCACTGGCTTGCTCCGCCTCTGCAGTGCACCTGTCCCCAGGGCACTCCTGTCCTGCAGAGCCTCTGCCCGGAAGAGGGGCTCTTGGCTCGCTCATCTCCCTCTGCCTTCTGCCTCTCAGAGCCCCTCAGTGCAAAGCCAGGATAAGATGCTCTTGGCATCTGTCCATCCCTGCTTTTACTTTTTTTTTTTTTTTTTTTTTTTTTTTGAGACGGAGTCTCGCTCTGTCGCCCAGGCTGCAGTGCAGTGGCCGGATCTCAGCTCACTGCAAGCTCCGCCTCCCAGGTTTACACCGTTCTCCTGCCTCAGCCTCCCAAGTAGCTGGGACTACAGGCACCCACCATCTCGCCTGGCTAGTTTTTTATATTTTCAGTAGAGATGGGGTTTCACCGGGTTAGCCAGGATGGTCTCGATCTGCTGACCTCGTGATCCACCCGTCTCGGCCTCCCAAAGTGCTGGGATTACAGGCTTGAGCCACCGCGCCCGGCCCATCCCTGCTTTTTCAACAGGTCCAGCACGTGGACCTTCATTCTCCATGAGCAAGAAGCTCCCTACTCTTGTCCTGCCCTCCTGATTTGCCTGGCCCAGGCAGAGCTGGCTTCTAGACTAGCGAGACAGTGTTCTCTCCCACTCAGTCACTTTCAATGCCTCATTCAAGGCCAAGCAAATAGCCAGTACCAAATGAACGCCCATTGTCCATCTAGCTGCCAGGCAGTTTCGGGATGCTGAGATGTGGCTCTCTGGCCCACCCACCTCTCTCCTCTGCTTTCCCACTCCAGCCCATCTCATGCAGAATTTCTAACCTCTCTGGTCTGCTGATCTCAGCGCAGCCTGGGACCCATCTGGGTGACTCTGCCTGCAGCAGAGTGTAGCCCTGGGGAGAAGGGGAGGATACATGCCAGGAGGCCTCTGCTGCCTGCAAAAGGACTAGAATCTTCTCTGAACCAGACTCAAGCTCTACGTCTTTCCCCTTCCTCCTATTCCCTTTCTCTGCTCACCCTCCTGTAAGCTTCTTTCTGCTAGGGGTGGGAGGTTTCTGCTTTATGAATTGCCCTCCCTGTCCTGCCCCTCCCACACACATACATACACAAGATTTCTGTCTTTTCCCCCTTTTCCTGTGTTCAAGGGCCTCAAAAGGCCTGGGGGCCTCTGAGCACCTCCGGAGAATCCTAATCACACTGGAGCAGCCAGAGCTTGATTCCTTCCTCAGTGATGCCTTCTGACATTTAATGAGTTAAGGCGCTAAATCCCCTTCATCCCAGAGCGGCTGATCTAGCTGCAGTGCTGGCTGCCGCAGGAACAGTGAGCGGGGGAGGGGCCAGAACGATGCACACCTATATCTGTACAGCAGTGTGCTTGCGGGTGCAAATCTGCCTGTGTGGAAAGCGGGCAGAGATACCTGTGAGCACACATTACTGTGCACGGGACATGGCACACCAGGGGTCACCTAGGCTGGGGCCAGCCACCTACCTCCTCCAAATGGCCAGCACACTCATCACGGAGCCCAGGACGAGGAGGGCTGAGATGGTCACTACGGTGACGACAACAGCGGGGCTCTGGTCCCTGGACCCTGAGGCAGCTGGGAGGAAAATCACGAGGTTGAGGCGGGCAGAGGACCAGGCTCCTAGGCAAGCCCCGGGGCAGACTCCTGTCCTCACCCTGTAGCAGGATTCCCACAGCACCTCTGCACTTGGCACTGTCTCCCAGCCACAGAGGCGCCAAGGCAGTCCCACTGACCACAGTGGCACCTGGAGTCCCAAGAGCTTCCTCTACTCTCAGGGCAGGACACCTCCACGGCAGCCCAGCTCCTGCTCAGAGAGACAGGCAGGAGTCCAGACAGGTAGGGCCAGGCCTCTCTCTATGCCTTTCAGATGAGCAGTGAGAGATTCAAAGTCGCTCTGCAGGAGGAATGACCTCTGCTCTGAGCTCCCTACGCCCCATCCAGACCATCCACCAACAATAATAAAAAGGGCTAATGGTAACTGCACCTTACTCCATTCAAGACACTGGGCCATTTGCCTTCACTATACTGTCTTGTTTCATCATCACAATAATCCAGGAAGGCATTACCATCTCCATCTTACAGCTGAGGAAACTAAGGTTGAGAAATTACATAATTTGCCCAAGATCACATGGCTAAAAAGTGGTGAACCTAAGATTTGAGCATGACTCCAAAAGTCTCTGCCTGATTCCAAAGTTTCTGCTTTGAACTATTTCCCCAAGAGAGCAGCCCAGAGGACCCTCGCTCTCAGCCCTATTCATCAATCTATCCAATCGACCCATCCATCCATCCAACCTACGTGCCCAGTGTGCATTAGTACAGTGATGAATCTGGAGGGGTGCATGGGCCTATGGGTGAGATAGAAACAAAAATCTTAACTGTAGGATGGAAAAAGAAACAGAAATGAGCAGAGCTGAGCAGAGGCACAATAATTTCTTCCTAAAGTCAATGAGGAAGGCTTCACAAAGAAAGGTGCCATCTGAACTGGACCTGCAGACTGGAAGGATTTTTGATGGTGCTTTGATGCACACGCTGGGTCTGAAAATGGCAAGTCGTCCCATGTGTCTGGGAAACAGACTGCACGAAGGCGGAGAGTGGCAAATAGGAAGCTGGAGGGTGGGAAGACGGAGGGAACTGGGGGAGCCAGAACCTGGAGGGCCTTGAATGCTAAGCTAAGGAGTAAAAACTTTCTACTGTGGGCAACAGGGAGCAGTGAAGAGAGTTCCTGCCCAAGAAGAAAAGGAATGAGGGTGTCTGCTGAGGTGGGAGTGAGGATGGAGAGGAGGTGCTTGAGAGAGGTGAAGGTTTGGTGTAACTATTAGGAATGGGAAAAGTACTAAGTGGCCCTGAAGACTGAACTGAGATTGGAAAGTACACCTCTGCAGGCAGCTTCCGCGTGGGACATGGGGAGGAGAAAGGTCCAAGTCTGGGGACTAGCAGGTGGACGCAGCAAGACGCCCAGGGAATGAGGGCTGGCAGAGTTAGGGGGTATTTCTGATGAGCTCATCTGCAGGGGCTGGATAGAGATGGGTGTGGGGCCCGGAGGAGCTAAAAGCCTTGAAGATGAGGTAGGATCCAGTGAGCTGTCTTTCGGATGTCACAGAGCATGTGAGGAGGAACAGAAGAGGAGAGTTAGAGACCAAAAATGCTAGAGTCAAAGAGGGTATTTCAGAGCCCAGGGTTCCAGAGGTAAAGAGGGTCAAGGGTCTGGGCATGGACAGAGGGGAACAGAGTTGCCAAGAACTGCTTGAAATGAGGCATCCATGTGGACACAGAAATGGAGAAGATGCCAGCAGTGGGCAGCCTCTGAGATGGCATCCCTACCTCCTGGTATCCATTCCCCGTGAGTGCAGGCTGGACTCACTTCTAATGAACAGAATATGGCAAGAGTACTGGGGTGTCATTCCCAAGATGAGTAAACAAGACGAATGGCTTCTGTCTTGGGTGCCCTCTCCCTGGCTCACAGTCTCTAGAAGAACCTAGCGGTTGTGGTGAGCAGCCCTAAGGAGAGGCCCACGGGGCAAGGAACAGCGTGCCTCAGCAGCAACCAGCAAGACCCCGAGCAGGGAGGTGAACTCTTCCCCAGCTAAGCTCCGAGATGATCACAGCCCCTGAGGACAACTTGACGGCAGCCTTGGAAGAGACCCTAAGTCGCTGGAACCTAGCTGAGAGGCACCTATATTACCCATCCAAGGAAAAATAAGATATTCAATATTTGTTGTTTTCACCTGCTAGATGTTGCAGCAACTTGTTACATAGCAACAGGTAACTAGCACAGTGGTGACGCATAAATGTTCACCAAGACCTTGACTGGGGGCCGGGCATGGTGGCTCACACCTGTAATCCTAACACTTTGGGAGGTCAAGACAGGAGAACTGCTTTCAGCCCAGGAGTTCGAGACCAGCCTGGGCAACATAGTGAGACCCCAACAAAGTAAAAATATTAGCTGGGCATGGTGGCGAGCGCCTGTGGTCTCAGCTACTTGGGGAGCTGGGGTGGGAGGATCACTTAAGCCCGGAAAGTTGAGGCTGCAGTGAGCTGTGACTGTGCCACTGCACTCCAGCCTAGGTGACACAGTAAAACCCTATCTCAAACAAACAAACAAACAAAAATCTCAGTTTGGAGACACAGCTCATGGGAAACCACACTCTGCAGATTAGGAGAACCATAGCCATGGCCACAGGAAGGGGGGCTGGGGATCTCAGCAGTCTCTACCAACTGAGAGGTACCCAATGAATGGAGACCATCAGCCCTTCTCCGCTGACAGCCCCCAGCTCCTGCCCCCCACACGCCCACTCCAGAAAAACCTGCCTGCCTTTGTTCAGATGGCTCCCTCTCCCCAAAATGCCTCCCTGCCCATCTGCACACATTCAAATATTCCCCAGCTTTAATCTCCTCTTTCCAGCACCTGGCCGAGGTCTAACACTTTTTGCATTCAGGCAAGAAGTGTGGTCTTTCTTCCCAGAACTCAGACCCCTTCAACATTTTATCTTCACCTTGCTTTGGGCTCAGAGCTCTTCCTATCTTGGATTAGAGTCATGTAGCAGGTTGGAAAGAATTATTATCTTGACAGCTGGTGCCAGAATGCCTCTTAGGGGGAACTGCCTTTGTTCAGGAAAATATTTTCATGAGCTGCTCAGGGTAGATAGAGGTGAGATCCTGAGGGCCAGGTTAGCAGCAGGCAAAGCAACAAGACAGCTAAACTGCTCTGCACACATCAGAGAATTGGGGAGTGGGTGGGGAGAAGAGGAACCAGGGGAGGGAAGTAAAGGAGGAGGGAGGAAAGCACAATATTGTGGAGAAGCCAGAGATGTTTTCAGATGAGGATATTCAATGTCCAGTTTTTGTTTGGTTTTGGTAACAGCTTTATTGAGATATCATTCACATAACATGTGATTTACCCACTTAAGGTACGCAATTCTTCTTTTTTTTTTTTTTTTTTTGAGACAGAGTCTCACTCTGTGACCCTAGGCTGGAGTGCAGTGGCACAATCTTGGCTTGCTGCAACCTCTGCCTCGCGGTTTTAAGCGATTCTCATGCCTCAGCCTCCCGAGTAGCTGGGATTATAGGTGCCCGCCACCATGCCCAGCTAATTTTTGTATTTTTAGTAGAGACAGGGTTTCACCATGTTGGCCAGGCTGGTGTCGAACTCCTGACCTCAGGTGATCCACCTGCTTCGGCTTCCCAAAGTGCTGGGACTACAAGCGTGAGCAACCGCGCCTGGTTGCAATCCTTATTTGTTGTTTTTATCACTGCAATGCAACCCCTTCATATCCATCAACCTTCAGTGAAGTCAGCATCACGCTCTAAGGCCTGGTGAGGAAAGGGACAGCGTCCCATGTTTGGGTCTCTATCCAAACTGAGTCTCTATCCAGCTGAGACATGGGTTATAGCTGTTCACAAACCCCTCTCCTGTGAGCTCCTCCAGGACAGTTTCCCAATCTAATTCAAGTCGGTGAACAGGCATTAGTCAGTGGATTCCAAAGTCATTAATTAATTAGGCTGCAATTAAACTGTTCTGCAGGCTCCCTTAATGGCACAGATAACTCCAGATAACTCTCCCCCTCTATTTGTCTCCCTGCCTCAGCCCCGTGCAGGGTTCTCTCTGTCTAGGTCCCTGTCCACTCATACACACTACTTACCCTCCCCCGGGGTCTGCACTTCAATGCTGGGGTTAAAGCTCTGGGCCTCCCAGGATGGCCCCGGGGAAGCAGCCCGGATCTGAAAGACGTAGCGGGTAGCTGGCTTCAGGTTGGTGACAGTGACTGTGGGCGCCCCTGTCTTCACCATGGAGTAAGTCTGCTCACTCTGACCCTGGAGAGAGATCAAGAAGTGAAGCCCACCAGCGCCAGGTCCACTGTTCTAGGAGAACAAAGGGTGAACAGGAACAGGGAGGCAGGAGAAGCATCCTTAGGTGAACGTGGGCTGAGTGGGAAAACCCAACCCCAATCATCTTGGGGGTTCCCAGGGATCTTTCCCTTGGATCCTCAGCCCCTGTCTTCACCGCAAGCTCCCACCCACACTCTGTGGCACTTGTAGCTGAGAATAGCCCCACCTCTGCGTAAGAGAAATTTTAGAGAAGATGCCAGATCCTCCTTCCGGGGGATGATAGGACGAGGGCCACCAGGGCCTGTCCATCCAGGCTGAGCTGGGCCAGTGCCCTAGGCAGGCCTGAAGCCTCAGAGGACAGAATGAGAGAATGAGCCCTAACCCACGAAAGCCCCCAGTGGCCCACAAGGCTTTTCCTTTCCTTGATGTCTGATTTTCACAAGTGTCCTGCAAGGCTCAGAGGACAGAAAGTATTATCTTATTTCTTTGTTTCACAGATAAGGAAACCCAGCTTAGAGGAGTAAAGACTTCCCCAGGGCCCCAGCTGGAGCTATCACTGATGAGCGCCTACTCAGTGCCAGCTTCTACATGAGACTCTACCTTCCGTGAGCCTCACAATGGCCCTGTGGAGTCAGCATTTCCACCTCCTTTTTAGGTGAGGTTCACATCAAGGAAGGGGCCGGTGCGCCCTCGGAATCCCTGCAGAGCCTGTGTTTTTCCCTTAACATCATGCTGCCCCCCACTCCACCCCAACACACCTGACAATGGCATAGATGATGCTCCTCCCGTCGTTTCGTCCCTGCCCACACCTTATTAGAGTCCCTGCCATATTCACAGCCCTGGAAGGTTACCCTCCCCGCTGATATTCTGTGGCTCCAGCTTTTTGACCATAGCATTCAGGAATTGGGACGAACTTTGACCCAAGCTGGGCCAATCAGAATCTCTCTTCCAGGCATCTCAACAATCCATTGAAAGACGGAGAAGCAGTGGCTTCAGGACCTCCAAGGTAGGGCAGGCTAGGGGCAGGGAGGAGGAAGGAACAAGGCTGCCCACCTGGGCATTGGCAATGTGCTGCAAGCAAGCCCCTCTGCAACGTGGGCTGGACTGGTGTGCAGAGAGACAGGTTGAGATGAGAAGCACTGTGGCTCCAGAGAGGAGCTGCCGGACACCTGCCCAGGTCTAGTGGCCCAGCAAGGCTTCTGCTCAGCAGGCTCCATGAGGGTGCCCTGAAGCCTTTCAAATATAGCACTTTTATACCTGATACTTGTTTCTTTTTTTCTTTTTCTTTTTTTTTTTTTGTTTTTTGAGACAGAGTCTCGCTGCGTCACCCAGGCTGGAATGCAGTGTGGTGCAATCTCGGCTCACTGCAACCTCCGCCTCCCGGGTTCAAGCAGTTCTCCCTGTCTCAGCCTCCTGAATAGCTGGGATTAGCAGGGAGTAGCAGGCACCCACCACCATGCCTGGCTAATTTTTGTATTTTTAATCAAGACTGGGTTTCGCCATGTTAGCCAGGCTGGTCTCAAACTCCTGACCTCAGGTGATCCACCTGCCTTGGCCTCTCGAAGTGCTGGGATTACAGGCGTGAACCACCACGCCCGGCCTTGTTCCTTCTTTTTTGTTGTATTTGGGGTTTTGGTGGGTTTTCTTGAGACAGGGTCTCACTCTGTTGCCCAGGCTGGAGTGCAGCAGTGCAATCACTGCTTACTGCGGTCTTGACTTCCTAGGCTTAAGCGATCTTCCAGCTTCAGCATCCCAAGTTGCTGGGACCACAGGCGCACACCACCATACCTGGCTAATTTCTTTTTTGTAGAGGTGGGAGGTCTCACTTTGTTGCCCAGGCTGGTCTTGAACTCCTGGCCTCAAGCCATTCTCCCGTCTCAGTTTCCCAAAGTGCTGGGATCACAGGTGGTAGCCACTGAGCCTGGTCCTTGCTCCGTTTTTTGAGGGTTTTCATGCTCAGCAGCCTGGGAGCATCCACCCACCTCAGCCTTGGGACTCTCGTCTGTGCCCTGATCCTCAAAGTCCATTCAGTGAGTCCTTTCTAAGCACCTGCTTCCCAGTGTCCTTTGCTGCTGTCCCTAAACATCAGCATTCCTCAAGGCTCTGTCCTGGCCACTCTTCTCAGACACATTCCCCTTCTCGTTTCTCTCCTCCAGTCCCCTGGCAGCAGTTACTGTCTCTATGCTGAAAGCCCCCAACTCACTCTCTCTCTCTCTCTCTCTCTCTCTCTCTCTCTCTCTCGGCCAGATCTCTCCCTTAAGCTTCAGCAAGTCCACCTGGATCTCTCACAGGCCACCTGAATGCTAGATGAGCAAAACCAGGTTCATCATCTTGCTCCAAGCCTGTGCTTCCACCTCAGTGCTTCTCCATCTCAGTCAGTGGTACCTCATACTCTGGGTTACCCAGGTTAGACACCCAGTAGTGACTCAGGACTCTCTCCTCCTTCTCACTCACCCCCAACACTCACAGGTCTCAATAGACTTCTAGTATTCAAAAACTATTTTCAGCAAAGGAGTCCCTCATGTCATTGAGGAGTGAGTGAAGTTCTGACACATGTAGAAGCTGAAAGAGGTTTCACTTTAGTGAATATAATTTGCACCGAAGTGAGAAACAGTTTAACGGTAGCTTGCATATCAGATTTAAATATAATAAATTGGCCGGGTGCAGTGGCTCACGCCTGTAATCCCAGCACTTTGGGAGGCTAAGGCAGGTGGATCACCTGAGGTCAGGAGATCGAGACCAGCCTGATCAACATGGAGAAACCCTGTCTCTCCTAAAAATACAAAACTTAGCCGGGTGTAGTGGTACATGCCTGTAATCCCAGCTACTTGGGAGGCTGAGACAGGAGAATCGCTTGAACCTGGGAGATGGAGGTTGCAGTGATCTGAGATCATGCCACTGCACTCCAGCCTGGCAACAAGAATGAAACTGTCCCCAAATAAATAAATAAATAAAAATAAAGATAATAAACTTATGGGGAAAAGAGCAGATTGGGATGTGACTCCATTTGTTACATCACAGCTAAGCTGCAACCACAGATTGACAATGGATACAAGAGGTCAGCAAAAATCAGCACAAGTATCCTATGGGGATCAATTGGCTATATAGAGTTCACAATCAAGAGTTCTGTACATATTTTATTATCACTGTAAATGCTGTGCTACACATTTTTTTTATATGATTAGAATCATAATAACTCAAACATTTATTGTTCTGGAAAGCTGGCTGTTAAACATCTACCAGCACACCACCACACCTAGCAATGTGCTCCATGGTCAGGCATTTTTGTAAAATTAGAAATGATATGATCTTTCTGTGTACTTTTTCTTTAAAAGGGCTCTACATATGGTACGTATAAGATTCAGCCACACAAAATCTGAGCCGGGCCCCAGAGAAAGCTCTTTGTCAACTGAAACACTAGGTGACATGGGGACAATGGAGATGGTTGGTGATGGAGATAGACCTGAGCTGAGAGAGGAAGAGCAGGAGTCCGGGGGAAGACGGGGAGACTCGAGCCTGGGGCCCCTAGGAAACGGGCGGTTCTGTTTACAAAGGGAGTAACGAGGGCTTTTGCTGGGAGGACTGCCTGAAGAACCGGAAGCCCAGTGGGACAGGTGCGGGGCAGGCTCCAGGTCCCTCCCAGACACGCACTCACCTTCTCGTAGTATCGGATCTCGTACTCCGTGCCATTGGCCCCAGGGGCTCCGGCAGGGATGGGCTCCCGCCAAGACAGGGACACGCTCTGGGGTTCCACTCGGTCCCTGCGGATCTCATCCTCCTCCCAGGGCGCTGAAAGTAAGTAATGTGGGATTCTCCACCTTGCCCACCTGCACGGCAGGGCTGGGGGTTGGGGGAAGAGGGTGAGGCGTGCGTGGCTGTGGGATGGAACTAGAGAGGCCTGGGGCGTGGTCTAAGGGGTTGTGGGCGGGGCTAGGGAACAGTCTGAGAGGCGTGGCCAAAGGGGAGGAGTCTGTGGGACCAGAGGAAAGAGGCCTCTCTGCCCGCACAGCCCTTTTGTTCATTGTCCCGTAGAGGAAAAGCATTAGGCCTTCTGCTGCTTGCCCACCCCTTACACCCCAGCTTCTCTCATGGTGGTTGGCTCTAATGCTCCAGGCTCTTTCTATACTTGCTGCAGCTTGGAGACATAAGAGAGCATTTAGAGGCAGAAAGACCTGCTACTTAATAATTCCAATGGTCTGACCAAGAGGTAATACACTCGGCCGGGCGCGGTGGCTCACGCCTGTAATCCCAGCACTTTGGGAGGCCAAGGCGGGTGGATCACGAGGTCAGGAGATCGAGACCATCCTGGCCAACACGGTGAAACCCCGTCTCTACTAAAAATACAAAAAATTAGGTGGGTGTGGTGGTGGGCGCCTGTAGTCCCAGCTGCTGCGGAGGCTGAGGCAGGAGAATGGCATGAACCCGGGAGGCAGAGGTTGCAGTGAGCCGAGATCGTGCCACTGCACTCCAGCCTGGGTGACAGAGGGAGACTCCATCTCAAAAAAAAAAAAAAAAAAAAGAGGTAATACACTCAACAAACTAGAAATAAAAGGAAATTATCCCAAAAGAATAAAGGACATATATGAAAAGCCTACAGTGAGTATCATACCCAATGGTGAAACACTGGAAGCTGCCTTCCTTCCAACATCAGGAAAAGGGTAGGATGTCTGCTGTCATTACTTTTATTCATCATAATACCAGAAGTTCTAGCCAGAGTAGTTAGGCAAGAAAAAGAAATAAAAGGCATCCAAACTGGAAAAGCAGCAGGAAATTTATCTCTGTTTACAGATGACATGATCTTATATATAGAAAACCCTAAAGATTCTACACATGAAATTGTTAGGCCAGGCGTGGTAACTTGTGCCTATAATCCCAGCACTTTGGGAGGCTGAGGCAGGCGGATCACGAGGTCAAGAGATCCAGACCGGCCAGGCGGGTGGATCACTTGAGGTCAGGCCGAGGTGGGTAGATCACTTGAGGCCAGGAGTTTGAGACCAGCCTGATCAAATGGCGAAACCCTATCTCTGCTTAAAAAATACAAAATTAGGCAGGCATAGTGGTGCACACCTGTAATCCCAGCTACTTGGGAGGCTGAGGCCAGAGAATCGCTTGAACCCAGGAGGTGGAGGTTTCAGTGAGCCAAGATTGCGCCATTGCACTCCAGCCTGGGCAACAAAAGCAAAACTCTGTCTCAGGGGGAAAAAAAAAAAAAGAGAGCAATCGAGATCATCCCAGCCAACATGGTGAAACCCCGTCTCTACTAAAGATACAAAAATGAGCTGGGTGTTGTGGTGCATGCCTGTAGTCCCAGCTATTCGGGAGGCTGAGGCAGGGGAATCACTTGAACCTGGGAGGCAGAGGTTGCAGTGAGCCGAGATCGTGCCACTGCATTCCAACCTGGGCAACAGAGCAAGACTTCATCTCAAAAGAATAAAATAAAATTTAGAACTAATAAACAAAATACAGCAATGTTGCAGAATACAATATCAATGCACAAAAATTTGTTGTGTTTCTATACACAAGGAACAATTCAAAAAGGAAATTAGGAAAACAATCCCACTTACAATAGCATCAAAAATAATAAAATACTTAGACATAAACTTAATCAAAGGGATGAAAGACTTTTATACAGAAAACTGTAAAATATTGCTGAAAGAAATTAAACACAAATAATTGGAAAGGTATCCTGTGTTCATGGAATAGAACACTTAATATTGTTAAAATGTCTCTACTACCAAAAGTGATCTACAGATTCAATGCAATCCTATCAAAATCCCAGGCATTTTTTTGCAGAAATACAAAAAACATCCTAAAATTCATATGGAATCTGAAAGGACCGTAAATAGTCAACACAACCATGGGAAGGAAAAATAAAGCTGGGCCAGAGGCAGTGGCTCACACCTGTAATCCCAGCACTTTGAGAGGCCAAGGTAAGAGAATCACTTGAGGCCAGCAGTTCGAGACCAGCCTGGGCAACACAGTGAGACTCTATCATTTACAAAAACCAACCAACAACAAAACCTACACACACACACGCAAAGGTAGAGTCCTCACATTTCGTGACCTCAAAACATATTTCAAAGCTACAGTAATCAAAACAATATGGTAGAGACATGTAGACCAATGAAACAGAATACAGAGCCCAGAAATAACTCCTCTCCATGTATGGTCAAATGATCTCCCACAAGAGTACCAAGGTTATGCTATACAGAAAGGATAGTCTCTTCACCAAATGACACTGAGAAAAGTGAATATCCACCTGCAAAAGAATGAAGTTGGATGCTCACCTAACATCATATAAAAAAAATGAACTCAAAGTGGATTAAAGACCTAAATGTAGGATCTGAAATGATAAAACTCCTAGAAGAAAACACAGGAGAAAGCTTCATGACACTGGATTCGGCAGTGATTTCTTGGATATGACACCAAAAGCACAGGCAGCAAAAACAAAAATAGACAAATGAGACTACATCAAACCTTTGCAGGGCAAAGGCAACAATAATCAGAGTGAAGAGGCAATCTTTGAAATGGGAGAAAATGCTTGCTAACCATTTATCTAAGGGGTTAATATCCAGAATGTATAAAGAACATCTAGAACTCAACAACAAAGACCAAATAACTCAATTAAAAAATAGAGACAGCGGGAGTGGAGAAGGAACAAAGAAATCTATGACTGATTGTGATCATTTAGTTGTAAACAACACTGCACTCAGACCAGCTTGAGTAGACATTTCTTCAAAAAGGATATACAGGCCGGGCAGGCGTGGTGGCTCTTGCCTGTAATCCCAGCACCTAGGGAGGCCAAGGGGGCAGATCACCTGAAGTCAAGAGTTTGAGACCAGCCTGGCCAATGTAGTGAAGCCCTGTCTGTACTGAAAATACAAAAGTTAGCTGGGCGTGGTGGTGTGCACCTGTAATCCCAGTTACTTGGGAGGCTGAGGCACAAGAATTGTTTGAACTTGGGAAGCGGAGTTTGCAGTGAGCTGAGATTGCACCACTGCACTCCAGCCTGGGCAACAGCATGAGACTCTGCCTCAAAAAAAAAAAAAAAAAGATATACAAAAGGCCAAGAAGCACAGGAAAAGATGCTTAATATCATTAATCATCAGGGAAATGCAAATCAAAATCACAATGAGATATCACCTCACATCCTTTAGGATGACCACTACCAAAAATATAGAACACAACAAGTGTTGGCATGGACATGAAAAAATTGGAATCCTTGTACACCGTTGTGTAGCAATGTAAATTGGTAGGAATGTAAATTGGTGCAGCTGCTATGGAAAACAATATGGAGGTTCCTCAAAAAATTATAATTACTATACGATCTAGCAATCCTATTTCTGGGCATATATCCAAATGAACTGAAATCAGGTCTTGAAGAGATACTGCTCACCCATGTTCATTGTGGCATTATTCACAATGGCCAAGAGGTGAAAGCAACCTAAATGTTCATAAGTGGATAAATGGATAAAGAAAATATGGTGTATACTCCATGGAATACTATGCAGCCATGAAAAAGTATGAGTTCATGTCCTTTGCAGGGACATGGATGAAACTGGAAACCATCAATCTAAGCAAACTATCACAAGGACAGAAAACCAAACACTGCATGTTCTCACTCATTGGTGGGAGTTGAACAATGAGAACACATGGACACAGGGCAGGGAACATCACACACTGGAGCCTGTTGGGGGTGGGGGCGGGGGGAGGGACAGTAGTAGGAGAAATACCTAATGTAAATGACGAGTTGATGGGTGCAGCAAACAACATGGCACATGTATACCTATGTAACAAACCTGCACGTTGTGCACATGTACCCTAGGACTTAAAGTATAATAATAAAAAAGTAAAAAAAAGAAAAAAGAAAAAAGAATATGTAGTGTATACATACAAGAGGATATTATTCAGTCCTTAAAAAGAAGAAAACTCTGTCATATGCTACAGTATGAATGAACCTTGAAGACATTATGCTAAGTGAAATAATCCGTCACAAAAAGACAAATACTGCATGATTCCACTTATGTGAGGTATCTAAAGTAGTCAAACTCTTTGAAACAGAAAGTAGAATAGTAGGCCAGGTGCAGTGACTCATGTTTGTAATCTCAGTGACTCATGCCTGTAAACCCAGCACACTTTGGTAGGCCAAGGCAGGTAGATCACTTGGCCAGGAATTCAAGACCAGCCTGGCCAATGTGGTGAAACCCTGTCTCTACTAAAAATACAGAAATTAACCAGGTGTGATGGGGGGCACCTATAATCTCAGCTACTTGGGAGGCTGAGGCAGGAGAATCACTTGAACCCAGGAAGCAGAGGTTGCAGTGAGCCAAGATTGCACCAGTGCCCTCTAGCCTGGTTGATAGAGTGAGACCCTGTCCCAGCACCACCCCCCTCAAAAAAAAGGAAGTAGAATGGTAGTTGCCAGGGGAGGGTGGTGGGGGTAAAGGGGAGTTGTTGACTGGATATAGAATTTCAGCTTTGCAAGATGAAAAAGTTCTACACCCCAGGTATGAGAGCTCATGTCTGTAATCTCAGCACTTTGAGAGAACCAAGGTGGGAGGATCGCTTGAGCCCAGGAGTTCAATACCAGCCTGGACAACAAAGTGAAACCCTGTCTCTACAAAAAAATCAAAAAATTAGCTGGGCATGGTGTCACACACCTGTGGTCCCAGCTACGTGGGAGGCTGAGACAGGAGGATTGCCTAAGACCAGAAGGTCAAGACTGCCACTGTACTCCAGCCTAGGCAATACAGCGAGACCCAGCCTCAAAAAAAAAAAAAAAAAAAAAA